TCACAAAAGTCTGCATCTGGAAGATCGGTAAAGTGCCTGTTATCTCCCGGGGGGAGGCAGGTGCTATTATTATCCCCATCTTACAGATGAAGAAGCTGAGGCAGACAGAGGAAGGGACCTGCCCAGGGTCATACAGCTAGTTAAGTGTCTGAGGCTGAAGCCAATCCCAGGTCTCTGTGACTCCAGCTCTAACCACTGCACTACTAAGTGGCCTCTTGAGCAATGCCTTCAGGGGTGGTTCTTGCCCCCACTTTGAAGGGATGCTGCCATTTAACAATGATCCTTGGCCCAGAATTACAAACAGGAAGGAGCCAGGGACAGTATCTGGAAAATTTCACTGAGATTCCCAATTGTTCTCTGCCACCAGAGCCCATCTCTTTCACACCAAGAGGGGCTCCCAGGGACGCTCTCTGGCTGCAGTCACAGGGTTCCACCATCTCAGAAAAATCCCTGAGAAGGATCCCCATGAAAAGTATGAGAGAAGCAAACACAGGCTGGGGCATCCTGCCAATACAGTTAGCACCGCAAGGACCTACCTCTACGCAAACAATTCATCCAGCACCACAGGGCCGGTAAACATCCGAGCCACGGCACCTGAACTCAGATCTTCCGGACTCCAAGTCCAGTGCTCTCCACCCCCTGCTAGGCTGCCTTCACTTCCCAAAATGGAAACCAAAGAAAGCGGGCACAAAAAACACTCTGCAGGGGTGATGGCAAAGGAGGTGAGCCAGTCATGGGATGAGAATGTGAGGAGGATGCCGAGAAGCCCTCACAAAAGAACCAGAGGAAAGCATCCAGGCATCATACACACATACACATACACATACACACACACATATGGTTCCTATGTAAAATACACGTTATATATTTAGGTATACATATTATATACGAAATGCAAGATCCCATATATTTATATTTTATATATAACATATTATTTTAGATGTATATTTACATTTAAAATATAAAATGTATACTTTATATATGTATGTGTAGGTACATTTATAAAAACATAATTTTATATATTTATACATATATTTTTTATATATTAAGTTGAGATTTTATAAATTTAAGGATATATACATATCTATGTAGAAAGTATATAATTTTATATATTTGTATACACCTACTATATATTTTAGATATAAAATGTGTAATTTTACACATTTATGTGTGTATATGCATTTATATATATATAATCGTATATTTATATACAAATATACATTTTAGATGTAAAATATATAATCTCCTGTGTTTATATGTATGTATGTACATTCATATGTAAAATTCATGTTATATATTTCTATACATTTTAGCCACAAAATGTATGATTTTCTATATTTATGTATATATGCATTATATAAAACTTTATATATACATAAATACATGTGTATATGTATTTATATAGAAAGTCTATACTTTTATATATTTATATACAAATAAATACATTTCAGGTGCAAAATGTATTTTATATATGTATATACACACGTACATTTTAGATGCAAAATCTTATATATTTACGTATGTACATATGTATTTATAGATAAACTGTATAATTTTATATATTTATGCATGTATATCTTTATACAATCTGTAATTTTGTAGATTTCTATACAAATATACATTTTAGATGTAAATGTATAATTTTATATATTTATGTGTATAAACACATTTCTATATTAAGCATAAAACGTCGTATATTCGTACACAGTATATCCTCTGTGCCACTTCCAATGTTACCTTTCTAGAGCATGGTTCTAACCGCCTCAATTCCTTGCTCTAAAAGTTTCAGTGGCTCCCTATTGCCTCTGGGATGAAATGAACTCTTCTTTGTTATTCAGAGTCCTCCCCCCTCTGGTTCCAGCCTTTCCTATTAGGTCACTTAAGAAGGTAAACCTTCGGGGCAGCTAGGTGGCACAGTGGATAGAGCACCAGCCCTGGAGTCAGGAGGACCTGAGTTCAAATCCGGCCTCAGACCAAACACTTGACAATTAGTAGCTGTGTGACCCTGGGCAAGTCACTTAACCCCAATTGCCTAAAAAAAAAAATTAATAATAATAATAATAAAGAAGGTGAACCTTGCTGTTTAACTTGTTGCTCTTTAAATTCAGCATCCCATCTCCAGCCTGTGAGCCTTTGCACAGGCAGTGACCCATGCCTGGAGTGTGAGCCTTAGCTTCCACATAGCTCAGCTCGGAGGCCACTTCTTAGGGAAACCTTTCCTGATGGCCTTGTTGAGCAGGTCGATGGCCCAGTGGATACAGTGAGAGGCCTGGGGTCAGAAAGACCTTAGTTTGATACTGGCCTCAGGCACTTAATAGCTGGTGTGCTCCTGAGCAAGTCACTTAACCTCCATCTGTCTCAGTGTGCTCAACCGTAAAATGGGGAATGATCATAATAGCACCTCCCTCCCAGGGCTGTTGTGAGGTTCAAATATTTGTAAAGCACTCAGCACAGGGTCTGGCACATGAGTCCTTAATAAATGCTCATTTCCTTCCTCAGATTTTCTTGTGTTTACTTAATATATTCACCTGCTGTATTCTATCCCCTGGCAATGAAATCTCCTTGATGAACCATAGTAGATGCTTTAAGAATTGTGGACTGAATTGAATGGGAGGAGGTGATGTCATATACACACACTACATACACACTCACATCTAAATACACACATACATGTATATAGACATACACATACATCCATGTATACACACATGTGTATGCATATGCATGTGTTTTACATATTTTAAAACAGTCACTAAGGTCATGAGACTTCTCTGGCATATGTACTCCCTCTGAAACAGAAGGCAGTAACTTGAACACAGCATAGGTCAGTGGTTCTCAAACTTCCTGGTCTCAGGATCCCTTTATACTCTTAAAAATTACTGAGGACCCTCCAAAGAGCTTGTGTTTGGTTTTTATCTGTATGTGCTCATCATGTTTGAAATTATATTTTTGGATTAGTATGAAAACAATACAGTATCTCAGAGACACCCCTCCCCCCCTTTCCCTGATAATCCCAATTCCCTCATTTTATAGATGAGGAAACTGAGGTACAGAGAAGAGAGAACATGACTCAGTCACACCCTGTAAGGAAATACCAAGGCAGAGATTTGAACCCAGGTCTTTGGATGTGTGCATGTAATATAGTGGCCACATGGTAAAACAGACAGAATGTTGAATTTGGAATTAAGAAGACCTGGGTTCATGAAGGGCCTCCAACACTCATTACCTGTGTAAGTCCCAGCAAATAACTTACTTCAACGCCTCAGTTTTCCCACCTGTAAAATGGAGACAATAATACTACTACTTCCTTCAAACACTGTTTTGGGGATCACATAAGACAATGTATATAAAGTGTTTTACAAGCCTAAAAGAGCTATAGAAAGGAGTTCTCACCGACGTTCCTATTATGATTTGGTAGAGACGCAGCCAGTCACAGGGAGTGGAGGGCTAACATTGCAATCTGCTGTCAGGACATGAAGAAAGTCCCCCAGCCGTGGAGTCAGGAGCCCTGGGCTCACCTCCCAGATCTGTCACTTACTAGTGATGTGACCTGACCACAGGTGAATCTCCTATATGGGCCCTCAGTTTCCTCGTCTGTAAAATGAAGGGTCTGGACTGACTCCTGTGATCCCTTCCAGGTTCTATGCTCCTATGGTCTGCTAAGGGCTGAGTTCAAGTTGACCCACCCTCGCGGAGTGATCCCACAGGCAGATCTCCAAAATGGCAAGAGACAGAGGAGGGGTGCTGGTGTGCCTTGGTGGATGGGTTTCCATCCCCTCTAGTTCACTGCGCTAATGAAATCGCGGGTGTAGACCCCCGCTCCCTACAAGGGACACCCTCGCCTGCCTATGTGATTCCTCCATGGGCATCCGAGGTCCAGTGCATCCCTTCTGGCCGCTGCTCTCTCCCTCTCTGAAGGGGTTCAGCCAGGGCACCTGGCCGCTCAGTGCAGCAGCTGCCGCAGCGCCCGCAAAGCAGCCCCGAGAGGCACCCAGAAAAACCTCCACCTTCGCACCCAGGCCCCCTCCCTGGAAGACAAAGTTTGCTTTCGACTTTCCCTAATGCACGCAGATTAAAGCGCCGGGCTTTGGCTTGGTTTGCTTTTCTAAACCACGGCTGAGGGAAGGCTTCACGACTGGCCTTTTAAGGACAAGCCAGTGTTTTGAATGCACACAGCTGATGCAAAGCGCCGGGCGGTCTCGGGAGAGTAGCCCATCAACACAGACAAACAAAGGCCCGGGGAGGCTCAGGTGCTGGGGAGACCCGGCGCATCCCACGCCAGCCACCCCTCCCCCCTTATCCCCACGTCGCTCACCTTTCGGCCTCGGAGAAGGGCCCCCCACCGCCGACCCCGTTCCCAAGACAAAGCTGCCGACACCGCGCGTCTGCCAGAACGACTCCCCCCTCCCGCTGGTCTATTTCACCACCGGCGTGGTCTGGCGCCTACAAAGTAACCAGGGCAGCAGTCCCTGAAGGCACGCTTATGCAACGGGACCCCGGGTCTAAGGGGAGGGGTCGGGCCTGGGCAGCCCTTTGAACTTCCCAGAGTGCTAACTTCTGCCGGGGCCAGCCTTTTGGGGGAAGATCAGAAGACAAAAGGACGCAAGGCTTGCCAGGAAAGTTGGCTTTGCGGCATCTCCCAAGCCGGAGAGGACAGCCGCAGTGGGGACGCGGAGCCCGTTTATCCCAGAGCTTTCCCGAGACAGACCCAGGCCACTGAGCATCCCCCTGCCAGGGGCCGAAAACTGACGTGGGCCGTGGCCACACAAAGAGATGAAGGGAAGCCGGTGTGGAAATGCCAGCCGCCCGGGGGCCGGCGCGGGCTCCGATCTTTGCCTCGCCCTCCAGGGCTGCCCACTGGGTTTCCTGCACCACGGAAGGGTTCGGCCGCCCCCCCTCCCATCCATCCGCGGCTTCCCCGGGAGTCCGAGGCGAGTGGGGCAGGGATGCCGCGTTCCAGGGGGCTGGGAGGGGGCTCTCTTGGCTGCAGGGGCACTTACTCGGCTACCGCTGGGCTGCTGAAGGACTTCTCCTGCAGGCTGAAGCAGAAGCAAGAAAACATGGGCTAAGGCCGGCCAGGCTGGCCCCCGTGCACTGGCCCGGCTCCGCCCGCCGCCCGGGGACCTGCAGGCGCTCCCGCCCGCTCTGCACACGCCCCGAAGGCAGCCCCCGCCGGGATTAGCCGCGCTAGGGACACGCGCCACCAAGCCCGTCCCCCGGCTGCGCTCCCTGCGCGTAGCCCGGCCCAGCCCGGCCCGGCCCAGCGCCGGGGATCCGCGTGACTGGCAGCCCGTGGGCAGGAGGGGGAGGGGCGGGGGAAGGGGCCGGGGAGGTGGGGAGGAGGAGAGATGGGGAGGAGATGGGGCAGGGGGGAGGAAAGATGGGGAGGGAGAGAGAGGTGGGGAGGACAGAGGGGGAAGGGAGGATGAGAGGGGCAAGAGAGATGGAAAGGAGGAAAGAAGGGGAGGGGGCCGGGGAGGTGGAGAGGTGGAGAGGAGGAGAGATGGGGAGGAGATAGGGCCAGGGGGAGGAAGGATGGGGAGGACAGAAGGGAAGGGAGGATGAGGGGGCAAGGAGGAGGAGAGGGGCGAGGGACATGGGGAGGAGGAAAGAGGGGGAGGGAGGAAAGAAAAACAGAAGAAAAGAGGAAGGGGTGAGGGAGATGGGGTGGGGAGGATGAAGAGGGGGAGGAGTGAGGGATGGGAAAAGGGAGATGGGGAGGAGGAAGGGAAAATGAAGGAAAGGGGGATGGGAAGGGGAGATAGGGAGAGATAGGGGAGGGGAAAGAAAAGATGGGAGATGGGTGATGAGGGGGGAAGAAGATGAGGGAGAAGAAATGGGGAGAGAGGAGGAGGAGAGAGTGGGACGGAGAAGGAAAGTTTGAGTAAGGGGAGATGAAGAGGGACAGTGATTGAGGAGATGGGGAGGCCTAAGGAAGGATAGGGAGAAAAGGGGAGGACGAGGAGAGGAGAGATAGAAGAAGGGGAGATGGAAAAATGAGGGAGAGAAAATGGGGAATGGGGGCAGGGGCCCTCCGGATTGCTCCTGGAGGCTCCCGTCTTCCCATCTTCACCCCAAGGCTGGCTGTGTAACCAAGAAGTTGCTACTTCTGAGGCTTTTCATCTGGGCCTTTTTGTCCCCACCTTCAATCCCTGCAATCAGTCAACAAGTGTATGTGTATAATCATGTACACACACATATACATGTATGTATGCATGCATATGTATATATGTATACATGCGTTTATATACACGTTTGTTGGTATAGAAGATGTAAAAGTTGTGTGTATATATATATGTCTATATATTTTATATGTAACGTATTTTAGTCCTGTAGCCATAGTCCCCCACCTCTGCAAGGAGGGGAGGTGCGTCTTCTCCTTCCTTTTTGGGGGCGAGGTCAACGTGCACTTATGAAGTGCCGACTACGTTCCAGGCAAAAATGAAACAGCCCGTGTTCTACTAAAATAGAAAAGGAAGTTTCAGTGTTTACAGCCAAGCACCTGAATTCCCCGGCGATCCTGTGTGTGCGTATGTGCACGTGGGCGTGTGCTTTCCAGGAGTCTCAT